CTTACGGGAGTCCATGGTCAACGAAGGGGCCAGTTAACCGTCATAGGGACAGGGGAGGAGGTAGGGAGAGGACTAATTAAGCGCCAATGCCGTGAGTCAGCTCGATACATCGGTTAACTGAGTTATCATCCGATGCCCTGGCTTCAATCAGCTCTCGGTCCGTCTTGCTGCCGGCGTGGGCAATTATCCTCGAAGCTGTGAAGCTGAACTCATGACCCGTCTCGTAGATGTGAGCCGCCACTTGCGATAATGCGTCACCCCGTCGAACGGCCAGCTTATGTTCGTGTATGCGCGAACGCAATATGCGTCCAGTCTGTCTGACGATTTTATCTCTGACGATGGACTCCCGCAAGAGTTCGAAAGCTCAGACCAATAAAACTATGATTCCGGTGATCCATACGGCTTCGTCTTATAGAAAAGTCTCTCTCACATTGAAGGATTTTAATTAACCGTCCCAACACGCACTTTACGTGCAGGTCTGTAGAGCCTAAGCAGTTTGGTGTGCTCGGAGCTTTATAATCATCAGACCGAATCCCAAATTATAAGTTTGAAGCTGCCCGCTCCGAAGGTGCATTAACTTGAGTCAATGAACACTGAATACCGGCACCGGACAGCATTGTTGGCTGTCCGCCACAGGTTGTAATCACAGCCCAGCTTTCTGTGCTTTAGTCGAACAAAGGTAAGCTAAGGTTTCAGTAATTTTGACTGGCAGAATGACACCATATGGATTTAATTATTTGTCTGGAAAAGTCAAGATGTTAAATAAGGACTGCGGCGACGCAACGCTGACAGTGGGCTTCATTCTCACAGATATGCACCGTTTTGCCAGAAGTCTTTTACCCTTCAGACGCATTTCAGTTACTTATGTTACCTGGAAACCCGAACAGTATTGTTGAATATGAACAGAAATGCATCAAGCAATCATTACGATCGCGTTGCCTATTAAACTGCGACCTCGAAGGGGCCACTTCTTTTTCTTCGTTTAAACCATAAGCTGGTTTTGGTTTTTAGCATTTAAAGGTTGAAATGCGTTTCCCCCTCTTTGTTCTGTCCTCCAGTGCTCTCGTTGAAACAGTTTTTATCGCCGGGAGAATCCACAGGCCTGAGTCGCAGCGCATCTGACGCTACTGACCGTAAATCACCAGCCTACGTTACTCAAAAGAGCGCAGTTGAACGATCTAACCTACCGAAAGGTAAGGATCCCGCCGAAACTAGTTCATATTAAAATAGTTTTCATCTTCATGCAGCTGTTACATTCTAGGTTAACTAATTCACTGCAACAATCTTTAAACAGAGGTTTTGTCTGAATTAAAATATCATGTCCGTTCTCGCAGACCCATGTTATCAGGAAGGTCCAAATTAGATATCTCTTTAGCGCAGAAAAAACTAGTTAGTTTTCCATTCATTCACCTAAGAGTTTCATTTGAAATATTTTTACTCAGAAGTTAATCGTTTGCATTTTCTGCGATCTTCTTGCTACGGCCAAAACGGCCACAGAAAATCCGCACCGACTTTCCACAATGCCATGCCTAAGCAGGCCGTTTGAGCAAGTTTAGTTAAACTGTTTGTAATTAGCTGATTTCGGTTGACCTATAACCGTATGAATAACAGTAATCATGAGTATTTAAATTTGCCCTTTTAGAGGAAATCACTCATTTCAGTCTGCGAAAGAAGGACCAAAAAGTGAAGGTGAGCAGTTTGCTTTACCACTTTTTATTTTGATGTTCTCTGTTTGTTGGATATGCATGGATATGCGGAAAGGAATATCTACGTAGTGTTTGCTACTGCCGACTGATACAAGCAATAAGGGGAATTTCCACCATCTTTTGCAATTTCTTGGAACGCAACTTTTATCAGGTTCACAATTGGACTCAGGGAGAGATTTTTGTCTAAGTAAAAATGAAATCAAGCAATTTTCGTAAGTTAATTTCTGTACGGAATAAGTGCAAACGTTGTCGAGGATACGAACTCGGATTACATTTTCATTGAACTTTCAAGCCCGATGCTCTACCATTAAGTTCTGTCGTTTTCTATCAACCAATGATGGCCAAGAAGCTAAATAGGGCCATCCCAATCCCAATCCCCTCGCCCTCGTTTCTTATTTGCTCTGCGGTATCGCTGATCACTTTTTCTGCTTGCGCGTGCTCTGGTTTTGGCCTCAAGAAACAAGCCTGGTTGTATGCCAGCTCGGTGAACGACGCTCCTGTATTAGTCAACTTCTCTGTTTTCACAATCTGGGGCTCAGCCTGGCTTGTAAGCAACAGGATATGAGGGGTGGAAGTCCTCTACTCTGACTGTGTCTTCATCCGTAGCCGATGAGGCCCTCCACATCAATGTCATATTCTTATGATCCAGAAAAAGCTGCAATCGCTGGAACAAGAAGTTTCCTGACCTGATGTGTCGAATTCTCACTCAAACCCAGCATCAGAGACAGGTGTAACAGTCTCATAACTACACTTCCGCTTCAAAGAAGAGCCAACTGAAAGTTTTGACAAATAAACTGCATGCATCAATTTATGCTGCAAGCGCGCAGTTCGGCACCGCTTGCTTATATGTTCCTACCGCGGGCAGGGCATGGGCTCTGAAACCGCCCGTAACAGAAGTGACTTTGGGCCAAATTCCAGGACGATTAGGGGATAGAATTCATACTGCGAGTCCGTTTAATGTTAAGGTCATGATATGAATGCAGGAATGAGTACCTTCCCAGAAATAAAAGCTAGGTCAGTTATGTTACTTAACGAGCTTTCCTATTGGGATGTCCCATCGGAGTGAACAGCATGCACAGTAGATTCCCTATCTCATGAAATGTCAACTGAAATTCGGAAATTTGTTTTTGATTTAAACAAATTACTTGAGTTATGTTGTTATACTTGTCATCGTACTGCCTAATCCTAATATATATGTACTTTCTCTTGTATATACGTATGTTCGACCATTGATTTAGACGAGGGCCACCAAGTGCACCAACAGGTTGGTACAGAAGGTGACAGTCTCAGGGGGCAGCTTTAAAGTGATAGAGGACGTAGTTAGCGCTTCCGCACTCTTCACCTTCTCCCGGAGTCTCGAAGACTAAACGGGGTCCGGCGCGGGCTGCTGGCCCTAGTACAAGCCGAAACGTTCTCTTAGACAGAATCTATATAGCATGTAGGTTGGAAGCGTTAAATTCAAGTGTAACAAACGATGAGGTTCCAAATTATTCCGTACTTTAAACACTTTTTAAACTTTTTCTTCAAGGAGAAAGTTTCGAGGTGTAATTTTCTACCGAACCAGTACAAGAATGAACATTTTTGCATATTTTCTGGAAAATATCTCTTCATTTATGAAGGAAAGGAAACTCTGTGTAGAAAATGCATACTACTCAACTAGCCTTTTTTACAGCGTATGGGTTCTACAGGTGGTCAGAAAGAAGTTTGTTTTAAATTCGGCACCCCAACGTGACTGAAATATCTTTAAATTGGGCTGTACGATATTCGATATAAAAACCCTACTTAATTAAGTTGCTCAAATCGAAAAGACCTTTCAGAATTGCCATTGACCTTTCATGAGAGAGGGAATCTACTTTAAATACTTTCGGCCCGCCGTTCCTCCAGGGTCATCCTTATTGATACTTGCAAACCAAAGGGCTTTTAAAGGCTTTCGCCCACGCTCCCCTTGAAAAAAAAACTAAATTTAAGCAGAACTGAAGACAAATAACAGTGCAGGCCTATCTCACATCTTCAAATCGGAAAGTTGATCTCAGTCATAGTAATTTGGCCTAGCAGACGAGCTTTAGTCTCTTGAAGGCTCTTGAAGGACTGGAAGACAAAAAACTAGAGCAAGAGCCGCATTTTGCATCCCGTTTCCTACATCTTGCTTAGGGGCACTTGACATAAGCCATGCTTTAATAAATCAAAGCACTTCATCCGATCAAGAAACAGCCATTTGTGAGAGTTCTTTCAAACTGCAACAGACCAGCCTTGCGAGTCGCAAAACTGACCGATTCGATGGAGATAATTAGTAGGCAGATACCCTGAAATGAATTCGCTGGTCAGTTTGATCCCTTCCGGTAATAACCGTGTTCAGTCTGTGTGATTGGCCTTCTTTGTTGTGGTTGTTCTATTAGCTGGCCCCCATTCGTTTAAATGTGTAGCCTTGGTATTCCCACACTTGTGGCTGTCGTTCAAGTATCCGCATATATTTTTACCCAGCTTCCCTGGTTCCGGACATCTCTTGGTGTTGTAATAGAATCCTTTCCTTTGACTTCAGGCATCACATAGGAAGTACTGTATTGTCTCGTTGCTAAAAAAGAGCAATAAAGAATCTGCGTACACTGTAGGGATAGAGACAGCTGCACGACACTCTAGGTGGGCTTTACAAAGGGGAAATGAGTACTTTCATCCTACGACGAGAATAAATCGCAAAATGGTACTCCGGTGGGACTGTCTGTGTATTTTTATTGCAACGCAGAACAGTTGAGCCTAATATTTCAAGTAGATAGGGTCTAAAATGAGAGATGACCGATTGGGTTCGTTTTCGAATCGCGAATGCATCAACGCCTGATATTGGGATTTCACTGGCTGGTGGCAGCAAATAAACCAGACATTTCCAATTACGGTCTGTTTGCCTTGCCCAGCAGATGTGTCTACGTCAACTTTCGGTTTCTCGCGGATATTTGCTGCCGAGCAGAGACCTTGGCATAGCGTATTTATTGGAGTTATTTCGAACAAAATGGCGATATGTTCTGAATGGTTAGGGTTGTGCTGCATGTTTTGAGACGTTCTAAAGAACGTATTGGCGAAATGTAAGCAATCAAGAAACTCTTTCAAAGGGGTTACTAACGCTCAAACGCTACATGACATTGTGCAGATCTGTGCAGTTGGTTGGTTAGTAGCCCTGGTTGGATCAGGAGTCCCCGCCGGGTGTAGTTGAGAGACGCAGAAGAGCCGCGACCTCAGCCGGCTTGAGCCAAAGGTCCACGGGGGTGAGTTAGATG